GTTTCAGCAGCAGCTGACTTGGGGTTCTTAAGTTGAATCTGTATGTAAGTCAGAACCGCTGGTCAGTTTCAGCAGCGGCTGAATCTGGATGCCAGTTCCAACTTACATACAGATTCAGCTTAAGAACAAACCTACAGTCCCTATCTTGTATGTAACCCGGGGACTGCCTGTATTATTCATTATTTGTATTAGCAGAGAATATCCAAGCCCCACTTGTACAAACACTGAAGTAGACAGTCCCTGCCCCAAAGAACTTACAATATCAGAGGCAACAGATGGAGACAGACAGGCTACATCTTCACTGCGAGTGCTTTCCTGCAGAAAACATGCTAATGAGGGGCTCATTAGCATGAGCTGTGATCTCATTAGCATATTTTCTGCTGATTCTTTTTGCGCAAAAAGAAGCAGTGTGGACCAGTGTGCGAAGACAGGCATAAGGATCTTGCACAAAACGGGGGTTTTGCTCCCCCCCAAAATCCCTTGCACAAAAAGAAATGGCAGAAAATATGCTAATGAGATCGTGACTCATACTATTGAGCCCTTCATTAGCATATTTTCTACTGGAAAAAACTCGCAGTGAAGACGTAGCCACAGGGAAGTACATGGGAACAAAGAGACAATATTGGTCAACATGACAGACATTTCACAACTGCAGCCTAACCACTGTCAATTTTTAATAGGCACCATGGGTTTGAAGGAGAAGAGTGAATTGGCATTGCAGATATTTACAGTGAACAGGGTATAACACAGTATGAGAGAAAGCACAAAGATACTTGTTTGAGAGGTGGACAATGGAGATTGACATCTTAATTCCATCGGTCTACTGGAAGAAGCTGACCAACTGATACTGAATGAGAGAGGACAAGTAGAGTGGGCACTGTCCATGAAGGGCCTTCACCATGAAGAGTGCCCCACAAAGGTTTGCACCAGTTTATTTAAATCAATTTAAAAACTGACCAGGCCTAAATGATTGGACTAGAGAGCCTTGCCTTTGCCTATAAACATCTCATGACATATCTTGTAAAAACCTATTACAGATTTTAAATTTAAATTAATTCTCATGCAGATATCATCTTTAGGCCTGTTCTGTTGTTATCCAGCACAGACCACAGTAGTCTGTGGCATTTGTAGAACTGCCTTCTTTATTGCCTGTGCTTAATAAGGTTAGCCTTCAATAATCTCAACTAGGTGCTGAAATTAACACTTCACTGAGGTGAACAGAGTGCTAGGGAGCAGAATTCACAGCTCGCTGAGGTAAAGCTCACACCCCTACTTTCTGCTAGTGCTGAACTGAAGAGCCGCAAGGCAGAACTAATCGGGCAGAAGTTAATTGATTGATTTGTGAAGGTCCTCTTGGTAATGGAAAAGCCTAGAACTTTTTAAAAATCAATGTTTAGAACATATGGAAAACTGATTTAACAATATAGGTTGCAATCCTGGTCTCAATAAAATCAAGTGACTTCAGACAAGTATCAAAGGGACAGCAATGTTAGTCTGTATCCGCAAAAACAATGAGGAGTCCTGTGACTAAGGGTTCGTCTACACTAGCCCCTTAGGTTCGTCTACACTAGCCCCCTAGATTGATGTAGGGAGGCTAACGAGGGTGACTGGAATTGCAAATCAAGCGCGGGATTTAAATAGATGCTCTTTGTCAACAGAAGCTTTGTTGACAGTATCTGTTGACAAAGCTTCTG